TGTTACTGTGGTTTTTGATCCTATTTTTTTTTTTTTTTTTTTTTTTTGTACAGAGTCAGAAAGGAAAAATTTACATAGGAAAAATGATGAGAGGAGAAGCAGTTGTCCTTCCCACATGTCCTCCTCACACTAACCAGGGAGCTCTCCTCTCCTTTGGTCTAGGGTTGCTGCTGTCCTCCCCCACCTGGTTTGTTTTTCAGTTAATTGGAGATCAAAGTGGCAGCGGTGGTGTGAGGCAAACCACACAGTAGGATAGGCAACATTCTCTCCTTCTGCTATGTAGCACCACTGGGACTAATAATAATAATGCCTTACATTTAAATGACACAATAATTTTTGAAGCACATACATGTTGCTTATCTCATTTGCTAATTGTAACAAACTGAAACCGGGATGGGAAAACTTGGGGGTCAGGGTGGAGGGGCCATCTAGCTTTACTTACTGCTTCTTCAGTATTCTAGAAGTATGAACTTTCTAGGAAGTTTACCTCATTCAGAAGACAGGTATAACCTTTTGTATGGCAGATATACCTTTTATTTGTAGGAAAGGAGTCATGAAAAAATCATAACAGGATATTTATTACAATACCAAATTAAAAGATATAGGTGAAAAGCACATGATTTTGGCCTTTGCTATGGTAGCATGACCATGTGATACTGGCTTTTGTATTGCAAGGTTTGAGGTAATTACTACAGTCTCAAATTAGTTAGAAAATTATGACTGTACAGAATCTGGAATTAGAATTTGATTTGGGTTATTGATTTGTCCTTGGGTATATAAACTGGGATGTATTTATGGCCCTTTTGTAATTGGTTATTATTGTGTAGATAAAATTGAAGCCTAAGATGTAAAATGCACATATTATTAAGCATTTCTACTTTGACATTTGATCATATTAAAATTAAAATTATCACTTAACGTTCAAACAAAATTAATGGAAACTTACATACTATTTCAGTAATATTAGTAAATATATTTCATCAAAAATGTACTTAGGATTGTTTGATTTTGAAGCTATATTAGTTGTTTTGTTCTCGGGTTTATTATACTTTATGAAAGGTAATCCCTTTAAAGACTCTAACTTAACTTTTGAAACAAAGAAAAATGAAACAGTTTTAGTTTGTTACAATGGAATATGGTTTTGCCTAGTCTATGTCATCTGTCATTTGGTTAAATGTCCCTCTATCCGGGGAGTAAAAGCTAGTAGAGATTCTTTAGTTCAGTCAGGTTGTTACAGATAATTAAGGTAATTTAGTTCTAGGCATTTTATTGACTTAAGAAATGACAGCCTCTGTGATGTGCTCATTTATTGAACCATTTAGGAAAAAAAGGATCAAGGCCAAAATGATTTCTTCTAATGTTTAAGAGACACAGAAGACTCTTTAATCCTGCTCTAGATTTATAACACTTGCTCTTTTGATCACCACTGCAGGGTGTACCCCAGCTGTCAGTCTGCCTGTCAGAAGAACCAGAGGATCATAGTAAGGCTGCTGCTGCTTGGGCCTTAGGACAGACTGGGTGACACACTTCCAAACATGCACGGGATGTTGCTGTCACAAATACTTTGTCTGTTCTGCTTTCTTTGTACATGTCAACAGAAAGTTCTGAGGTTCTGCAAATGAAAGTGAGGATGGTTCTATGAAGATTTCTTAGACTTTGACTCATTTTTTTCAAAGTTCTCTAAAATAATTTTTATTTTCAGTATTTAATTGGGTATTAAATACAGGCATGACACAGGTTTGGGTTCAGTTAAGTTCTCATGCAGATTTACATTCATATAAAGAAGCCAGTTTCATCTAGGGTCTACTATCAATGCATTTATGTTACATTTACATCAAATCTGGTATCTGAAGGAAAGATAAACATATATGTTCATTTAAATTATGTATTTTACAGAAAAATTAAAAATTCAA